GCGCTGAATATTCTTTTAGTCATTTGTTTAAGGGGATACACTCCAGGGGATAAAAGTTGAACTAAGGTGTTATATACAGCACCTGTAGTGTGTAACTCTTTCCTAAAGTGAAACAACTTCTCCAGTTATGTTGTGCTTCCTGTGTCACAGCAGTCCTCAAATGGCAGTTCCTGAGGACACCACAGCCTTATTTGGGCCTCCTTTGGAAACAGCCTTTGGAGAACAGAAAATTGAAGGTAGCCCTCCTTTTGTATCCTCTTGTATCTTTGTCACTGTGTTTCTGTCTTTTTATCCATCTCTGTATATGTCTTTGTCTCTTGGTTCTTATAATATTGTGTTTCTTATTGCAATCAGCATTGTTTGTTTTTTCAAAATGTGTAAGCAACACAGTGAAAATTACTTTCTGAAGATATACTTATTGTCCCTCCAAGGCTGCCAGCTAACCCTTGCCTGGCTGTCACAGCAGATACTCTGCCTCTCTCCCCTCCCTCTTCTACATTTCTCTAGTATCATTCCTCTACCTCCAGATTCACTGTGCAGTTGTGGATCTCACTCCGTCTGTCTTTGCTAAGGTCAAAGTTGAAATTAGCACAGAGAGTTCGTGTGCACAGTGCAGCTTGTTAATACAGTGAGGAACAGAAGTATTTGAACACCCTGCGATTTTGAAAGTTCTCCCACTCATGGAGGGGTCTGAAATTCACATTGTAGGTGCATTCCCACTCTGAGAGACAGAATTAAAAAAAAAATTCAGGAAATCACATTGTATGATTTTTAAAGAATTTATTTGTCTTGCACTGCTGAACATAAGTATTTGAACACCTGAGAAACAGCAAGAATTCTGGCTCTCAAAGACCTGTTACTGTGCCTTGAAAAAGTCCACCTCTACTCCACTCATTAATCTAAACTAGTAGCACCTGTCTGAGCTCTTTAAAGACACCTGTCCACCCCACAGTCAGTCAGACGCCAACTACTACCATGGGCAAGACCAAAGAGCTGTCAAAAGAAAACCAGAGACAAAATTGTGGACCTCCACAAGGCTGGAAAGGGCTACAGGGCAATTGCCAAGCAGCTTGGTGAAAATAGATCAACTGTTGGAGCAATTGTTAGAAAATGGAAGAGGCTAAAGACGACTGTCAGTCTCCCTCGAACTGGGGCGCCATGCAAGATCTCACCTCGTGGGGTATCACGGATGATGAGAAAGGTGAGGAATCAGCCCAGAACTACAAGGAAGGAGCTGGTCAATGACATGAAGAGAGCTGGGACCACAGTTCTGTCGGTAGAACACTACGCTGTCATGGTTTCAAATCATGCATTGCACGGAAGGTTCCCCTGCTCAAGTCATCACATGTCCAGGCCCGTCTGAAGTTGGCCAAAGACCATCTGGATGATCCAGAGGAGGCATGGGAGAAAGTCATGTGGTCAGATGAGACCAAAGTAGAACTTTTTGGTCTAAACTTCACTCATCGTGTTTGGAGGAAAAAGAAGGATGAGATGCATCCCAAGAACACCAACCCTACTGTGAAGCATGGGGGTGGAAACATCATGCTGTGGGGGTGCTTTTCTGCGAAGGGGACAGGACGTCTGCACTGTATTAAGGAGAGGATGAATGGGGCCATTTATTGTGAGATTTTGAGCAACAACCTCCTTCCCTCAGTCAGAGCATTGAAGATGGGTCGTGGCTGGGTCTTCCAACATGACAACGACCCGAAGCA